GCCAAGCTCTCCCCGCCTGACACGCCCAACCGTCCGCAAAGAACTATATACCATAGTTCGCTGCGGACGGTTGGGCGTGTCAGGCAGTATGAGTGTTCACACCGTCGAAGCCGTTCTCTGCCTTCTTGTCAATTCGCGCATGCGACAAAAAGTGGTAGATACACAAGCTGATACAGTCATATCATTTGCTCGCTTTAACAACTGGTGGAGAACGGGTTTGGCACCGCGCCAAACTCATCCCGCCTGACACGCCCAACCGTCCGCAGCGAACTATAGTGTAGTTCACTGCGGACGGTTGGGCGTGTCAGTGCGGCTGCGTTTGGCGCGGTGCCAAACTCGTTCTCCACCAGTTGTTGAAGCGGGCAAGTGACAATACTGTATCATATCCTTCGTATTACTCGTTTTCTACCACTTTTTGTCGCATGCGTTTCAACAAGGCAGAGAAAGGCTCTGAAGGTGTGAACACTCATACTGGCTGACACGCCCAACCGTCCGCAGCGAACTTGAGTGTACGCTACACACTATACATCTTCAGATTTCGTTTGATAACCAAGTCATTAATCAAGGCTGGAAGTAGCTGAGCGGCTGTGTTACTTATGATATTCATCAAATTACTTGCCAGTACCTATACATCAGCAACTGTCGACATTAATGAGACAATTTCTCGATATTTCTCTAAATTCCTCCATTCCACAACTCCAACGACAACCCCTGCTCACGGCGCATCCAGCTATATTCTTGAAAACGATCATTATAACATTACCCAAGGCACGAACAGCTATCATCAGTGCAATTTACGGAAGTGGAGTAATCTCTGAGTACAGGAGTAGGATGAAGTGTGGCCATCACTTGGACATACTGAAAAGGCAGAGTTAGGAGTAACAAACCAAGTTGCATTCTCGGCAGATCAACGGCTCCTCATATCAGCATTCCTGCCACCAAATTTCGGCATTGCTGCAGTCGGAAAAACTAGTAAGAGCTTAAAGTTTCTCATCAGTTTCCTCATTACACAGTCAATTTCGTTCGTTGGCTAACCAGTTGTATAAGAGTTCCAAAGAACATCTTGATCCACTATCGGTACACTTTCTTTATGACCGCAACTCACCTTATAATGAGCTCGAAGTACATTTTTGCTATCAATGTTCGATCCTTTTCCACACTCTGCCATTTGAGCTGTGACAAAAATATTGAGCGAAGTCGGTGACTCGGTTCATTCTACTAGTGGGAGGACAAGAAGGACCGGAACTTACTTTTCTTTGGAATCGAGTACGTGAACACCACACAGCAGTTGTCCAATGAAAATAATGAACCTCACCGCTGGAGCACTTCTATTAAGGGATTTCCCTTATCAAAGCATCTCATTTTGAGTGCTGCGATATGAGGATTCTGTTCATTTTTGAAGATACAGTCCGGAATATGTGGCAGGATGTGTGCGACAAAACAACTGTAATGTGCAGCGCTAGTGCGCGTGGCTCAGCGACGTCGCCGCAGGACTGACGAGTCGTCCTGCCTAGCTGTTTGGATTCGATTGTTAAAGGAACGGAAAAGATCCGTATCTCGGTCTACGGACAACTGGAACTTACTTAGTCCCTTTGAATGCATCGATCGCTTGTTTTTCTCTGCACTCATTTCTATGGTGTTCTACGGTCACTGTGACTACACATAATCCAGCCTTTCGCAAAGGATGAGTGGCTCACTCACCCCGGAGACCCCTTCCACTCGATAGAGCTCATACCCTGGCTCGCCATATGTCTCTTGCACATTTCGATGTTCGGCAGCCCCTGTCTGCGTCACACCTTTCACCATTTTTATAATGATGGTGCTTCGCGTACGTAATTTCGGCGCACCCTGCCTGCACCTACGAGGTAGTAATCGCAGAGTGTTCTCAAAAACAGCCGCGATTGCGTATTGTGTATAGCGGCAATCAACTGCAAACCTATAGTCGCCAAAGAACTCCACAGAGAAGAAATAAGCAAAAAATCAAAGGTAATACTCAGTCAAAGAACTGTCACAAGTTCTCAGGACCTGCTCATTTCATGCCAGGAAAGAGATATCCTGCTCCCCTCCCCCACCCTTCTCTGGCTCACAAATCGTTTCGACGCCTCAACCAATGCTAATACCATCTAACAGTGAAAAGCGAAAAATGCGGTGTAACTTAACTCATTGCAGAAACTAGTCTTTGAGTTTTGGTGGGCGGGACCACTACGGAGGCGTCAGAACTGCCACTTATGCGGACAACGACGCTTTCGCTACTACAGTGCAGCCACCAGGATAATTTTAGAGACTGAGGACCAGACTTCCAGTACAAGGAAGGATGCTAAAGAATTGCTCGAGCACGGAGACAGTCTTTGACACGTTCGCGGCGGCGCCGTTCCTCAAAAACTCCCGTTTGTCGAGCGACGCGTTCGCGGCGGGCGACACTTAGTTAGGCAGTCATCCCGTTCATGGTTGCGCGCTCGCGACGGAACCATAAACGCCTAAAAATTCACGAAAGCCGTTTTTCGCCATTCTTTTACATTTTTCCCTTCTACAAGTTTTATCTAAGTTTCGGTAAATGAACTAGCTTTCTTGCCCTTTTTGATGTTCACTGGTACCGCACAAAGAGGATGTAGACTTTGATTCTTGTGAAAGTTCTTAGTTCCTCTTGTAAAAACCACTACTGCCTTCCAAAAAATACACGAGAAATGTTCTTAGTATTACTTGTATATTATTTGTTTTATGATTTATTCATGATTGCCAGTGAAAAGAAAGAAGAAATCACCAAAAACGAGCGAAGAGGACGGCGTGCACTCCCAAAAATGCACCGATTCGCCTAAAGAGGAAAAGTTTTTGAGTATTTTTCAGGTATACACCCCTCTAGTGTGTGCCTCTTCTAATGTGTGGATATTATTTCTCTATTGTCTGATTATTATTTAAATCCAACTGTTAGTGGGAAAAGGAAATAAAATAAAAAAAACCAGCGATCAGGCGCGTGTACTCCCGGGTACACGATTCGCCGAAAGCGGAGTTTTTTCGTGTACTCCCGGGAGTACACGCCGCCGCGAACGTGTTAAAGACAGCGCCCGCGATCGCCTTTCGCGGGCTGTGGAGCTCAACACGATTAGGTCATATTGTAAGTGCAATAATAACGATGAAAAAAGCGAAAGAAACCGTTGAAAATGCTCTAGAAATATCTCATGTACGGAACTGAAAATGGACGAGTTAATCAAACTTTGGGCGAGTTCTCTATATCTAATCGCCACTTGCTGCGGTTCATTCTTCAAGGCATATTTGATGAGATTAGCAATTATCACCGCTAACGAATCTTGGTAATCAAAAATGATTGAGATGGAACTCGTTGACTCCACCCTCATAGGCGGGGGTCAGCTTATCGTTGCTGAGCTGTCGTGCTTTTATCAAGCGCTTTTGAGCCGCGAAAAAGGGATATCCGCTGTGACCACAAGCTCCGCCATCTTGTACTCTAAAGGACTTCTGCACCTTGGTTGACGCGCGGACGCTGTCTTTAAAGTTGAACTGCAACCTCGAACAACCCGCGACAGTCACTTTTCTAAGTTGTATTCATTCACTTTTCCCTTCAGCTGCAGAGAGTTTTGTGAGATATTGTCATTAGAAAGGGACAATTCTCTTCGAAAAGTCTCACAAAAGTCTCAAGAATTCTGATCACTGAAGGGTGGTAGGGGTCGAAATGTCCCGCTTGGAAATAAAAACGAAATACTTTATCGTCTTTGAACAGTGTTGACGAATTCTCTTCCATATCTGCTGCGCCTCCCTCGGACGAAGTTAAGGGTTTTTTGTTGGGGGCATACTCACAATATTAGAATTTCAGTCGCACGCCTGCTTCGAATGAGACATCGTATACGCAGCTGTAGCTTAGCGTTCATGTGGTTGGCTTCAGGACTGCACTTTGATTGTACTTTGACGCCATTTGCCTCACATTTGAAAAACCTTACGCCCGAAACTCGTACTCATGGCTTGGGATGCTCCCCTGGAAAATTAGAGAGAAAGAGAGAGGAATATTCGAGACGTTTTCTGCATTACCATCCAAATCCTCTCATTGCTGATCCCTCCAGGCAATTATCTTTTCCTGGTTCTTCTTAGTTATTGCCACTTCTATATGCTTGAAACTGTCGCGATCTTAGCACACCAAAGCAAAAGAGTCGATTCACCATTTGCGGTCCGTCTGCTCTGAAACTTAATTTGTCCTTGCACGTGCTTCCCCAGTAGGTTTAGCTTCCTCGATTACCAATCCCGAGTTCCAAAATATGCCTCTGCTATCCCGCTGACATTGAGGTAATGTTATTCGCAGTACGGTAACCCGAGCAGTCCGCGCTCTACCGCCCGTGAATAAACGACGCCGCGCACAATTGCAGACACCCCTTGTGACGCTTTCGAAAATTTCGTCAGCTCTAAAAAGTGCTTATTTTCATACTTTTTTCATAGTTATGTGGGATTCGTTTGTCCTATAAGATCGTATAGTATAGTAGCGTGTACGGAACTTCATACTGATATTTTATTTTCATAACGTGTGTTAGTGGAAGATTGCGAGTTAATGTCTGTCACTTTGATAATTTGAGTTACGAGTGTGACTGACTTGCTGAATTCATCTCAGGTATCTGGTTCCATGTTTTTGTGATTTCCACAAATGACAACTCTTGCGGAGAAGAGAAGTCTGGCGTTGGCAAAAGCGCAAGCCTTCGTCAGGAAAAGAAAAGTAGGTCACCTTCTTTTCGGAATGTTTTTTTTTCACTATGCTCAGTGTTTTCGCTTCAGAAAATCATATTTTGTTCTGGCTATATCTTATCAGATTCAGGCAGAGGCACCACTGAAAAGCGAGAATGGTGATGAAAAGGAAACGAATCCCGAGGACGAAAATCCTATTCGACCCAGTTCGTTCGGGCTCCGACCTCACTTCTCAACGTACGGTTTTCACATTGTTGTTATGATAACCACATGGTTTTTTTTCCTTGGAGAACATTTTGGAAATTCTGCTATGTTTTCGAAATCTTCTGTCCTAAACAAACAATATCGTGAAGCAAACTTTTCTTTGGCGGGGTGAAAGTTTTCGGTATTTTCAGGGTGAATATTAATTGTGATAAGTGGTATCAAACAATGGATGAGAAGGCTCGAGTAATGCTTCAGGACCCACCATCATTAGCGGATGGTATGGATAGAGAAACTGAAAAGGTGAATTTTACTAAAATCACATATGTGACGCATGTGCCCTTCTAACCACTTCTTCTTGAATAGTATTAGTTTTAACGCGCTATGAACACAATTTTTTTATGAAATGGAATTACAGTTTTGTTCGACGTTTGCAGAATCTGCGATTTTTCGGATGTTCGCTAATACAGGAAGGTGCAGTGCTGTTGAAATTGCCTCAGGTTGCCGCTGCTACTGGACAAATATTATTCCAGCGATTCTATTATCTTAAAAGCTTCCTTAAATTTAGATATGAGGTAAGCATTTCAGGATTTTTCTACTGTTTCCTGTATTGAAACTATTTTTTTCTATTTAAAGCACACTGTGATGGCGTGCCTGCTTCTTGCCTCAAAAATTGAGGAAGAACCACGCCGAACCAGAGATGTGTACAACACTTTCTACCGTTTAGAACAGCTTCAT